CTGCGGTGGTTACGGCTTTGGTGGCTGTGGCGGCTGTGGTGGCCTCGGCGGCTACGGTGGCTATGGTGGATTCGGTGGCTGCGGTGGCTACGGTTTCGGTCTGGGTGGGTTATGTGACTGGTGTGCTGATGGTACCATGTGCGCAAACTGCAAGGGAGGCTTTGGACCACCTATAGGATGTGGGGGCTGCAACTGTGGATGTTCCCCGAGTCTTACATTCCCCTGTGTGTTTGGCGCTTCTGTCAACAATCCAGGCTGTGAGTGCTGTAAGAAGAAGCCTCCCAAAGGAAAATGTATCTGGCCATGCATGTGGCCATGCTGCTGCGAGTGCGATCCACCTAAGTTCAAGTTTAAGCCTCTGGAGCCCAAGCCAGTGTGCCACTGTCCACACAAGCGTTACTACAGATTACACCAATCACAAACAAGTATGCCGCACTTCTTTCTACTATTCACAACACACGTTTCTATAACCTCAAAAAATTATCTACTTTTCAATTTTGACAAAAAACACCATCGCTTGACGGAGACGAATTTATTTTCAATAAAATTCCACCCAGAAGCGAGGCGTGGTGGCCTCCTGGTTAGGACGCTTAACTCTGTTATAATGGATCCAGGTTCAAGCAATAGGACCTGCTTCTTGATTACGGGTCCTGTAAAGCTATTTTTTGTTGCTGTTGGTTTTTTTTTTCAATGTTTGGATATAACAGCAAGAAATTGATACTTTTTAAATCCACATAATAAAAATACGACGCAACTAAAGCAAATTGAGAGAATTCTGAGCAAAGAGCCTTATTTCTATACTTAAGATTTGGATTGAAACGATTGCCTAGAGTGTGTAAAATTACCAGTTTTTAAGAAACAGGCGAAACTAGCAAGGACATGTGTGATTTTCTCTGGTAAGTCACTGAGCCTCTCCTCCACAAAGTCTATCAATAGGTAACTTAAACCTTTAAAGGGAACATGACGCAATATAAAGGCTAGCCTGCCATGGACTTGTATTCCGTTTACGCTCCTGAACTGAACTCACTGAATTCAATAAGTCCAGGCAGGATGAGTCTCCTACCTCGTAAGCTGACTTTAACTGCATTTTTTCACCACAACAGATAATCAAGGTCCTGTCAAACGAAACCTACTGGATACCCTTGGCGGGCCGTTTCCAAAAGTGTTTGCTCCCTTCAGTTTCCCAATTGTCAACGGCCTTCAAATCAAGCCTCAAGGTTTTCTTCAAGTTCCAAGTAATTCAGAGCCCAGTCAACAAGTATAACTCAAAGGATCATGATATCAAAGGCAAACAAGGTAAATTACAAATCATTTCCTACGATCAAAAAACGCTGTAACAACATTTATAGATTTGACTTGTAGAATTCAACACTTCTCTGTATTCCGAAGCTGTGGTTCGTTTCAAAACGTAACAGAAGCTGATGGGTAAATTTCAAAGAATGTTTCTTAAAGGAAACTCTGATGTTTTAACCTCATATTTCAACGATGTTGGTTTGTGTTTTGTAGGATTGCCATCAAATAGCACTCCAGAAATTTCCAGCCATGGCTACCTTTTAATCACACAAGAAGAATACAGATTCAACAACTATAACTTCCTTAATTATCAAAAGAATATGTAATAAAGGTTGAATAAAGTATCACTTAACTCGTGCACGCTTGTTCGTTGCGTTTAACTTGAAATACAATTAAGATAACCACTACACCGGAAAAATAAAACACCTTGGGGAAATATCATGGTGTCTTTTTAACGCTACCCAAAACCGGTAAGTCTGGAAATTTTGCATGATAGAAGTGCACTTACACGCATTAATGAAAAGTTGGTTGGGACTTGAGGCACATTTTCTTGATACTCCAAGTGATATTATTAACAGCACGCAGAAAAAACGCAACAGCAAAGCGAAACTTAAAATTAATCTAAACACGATTTAAATACTTGCAGAAAAACGCTGCGGATGTGGCGGATGCTGGGGATGCGGAGATTCCTTCGATTCTGGCGGCTGTGATTACATGGGAGGCTACGGACCAGGATGTGGATGCGGTGGATGTGGAGGATGCGGAGGATGCGGAGGATGCGGAGGATGCGGATGCTGTGGACCAAACGACTGGTGTGCTCCCGGTACCATGTGCTCCAACTGCAAAGGAGGATTCGGTGCCCCAATCACTTGCTCAGGATGTAACACCGGCTGCTGCCCAAGTCTCACGTTTCCCTGTCAATTTGGCGCCACTGTGAACAACCCTGGTTGTGAATGTTGTAAAGAAAAGACCCCTCCTGGAAAGTGCAAGTGGCCATGCATGTGGCCCTGCTGCTGTACCTGTACACCACCCCAATTTGAGTTCAAACCGCTGAAACCTGAGCCTGTGTGCCACTGCCCATCACCACACAGTCACCATACAGCCTGTGGACATCACTGTTTAAGAAGATCAAGTAAGACGTGACTATTTTATTTCCCATTGTAAAGTGCAAGTGAAAATGTAGACATTTGTGTCCACGCAGAAATTTACTAAGCTCAGATCGGAGCCCTGAACTCCAAATTTGACCAGAGAAGCTAGCCAGCGAGCTATCTTGAGACGGAAGGCGCAAGGTGGCAGAAAGTCAATCTCTCATGGGAATAATTGTTCACCTCAGATCAGTCACTAATTCACCCATTGTGTCCTTTACACTTGTGATAAGGTAAGCGAGGCCCTGTGAAACGCAGCTTGATGGAAGAACAGCGATCTCCTTTTGTGCCGGTTCCATACAGTCATGGCTATGCACCATTCTACAACCCATTTTTCAATGGTGTTCCAATGATGCCTATCCCAAGAGCATTTTAAACTGATCAGCAAGGTACTTCTAATATGTGGAGAGATAGGGCCGGTTATTTACAAGGGGTATAAACCAAACCACGGTTTTACGCAATCATTGGGCCTCAAGCTTTTTCTATCAGAGGGCTGATTTAATTAAATAACTGTCCTTCCACTGATAGCTATCTGCTATCCAGACATCCCTCCCAAAAAATTTTGGATGAAAGGTCAAGCGAAACTTAAAATTAATCTAAACACGATTTTGTTAAACAACGGCTAAACTTTGATTAAATAAGCGGCCCATAATTTCTAAAGAAAGCCGACAGTTTGTAACCCAAAAGATGTCACCTCAAAAGTTTGCTTTACTGCACAATGGCTCTACCATGGCAGAAAGTTATCGTTTTAGCTATTTTGATAGATTACTCTTTTTACAATCAACATTCTTATTTCTCTCCTCTGTCATAGAAACATATATACACGTTAAACATGACACTGACACAAAAGAAAAACTTAGAAAAATATTCTTTTTCTTTCATATAAGAAATACGAAAAGTGCCTCAAACATAAAAAATATAATGACATATTTTTCTCTTCCCTATTTTTCCAGATCTCATAACTTCTAAAGAAGCCTCGGATTCGGAGAGATCAAAAACAAGCAGCTTCACTTCAGCACGCCCGAGGCAACATGGAGCTAATATGGAACACATCAATGCTTTATTGAAATGGATATTATTCACGTCGGAGAAAAGTCTTCGATAGCTGTGCATGTTATTTAGTGATACAACTGAGAACTGGTTAATAAATTAAACAAGCATTTAATATGATGTGTGCATTTCTGTTAAAAATATTGAATTATTGTTGCTGCAGTTATGATTTCGGATCACCCCAAGTCCCCTTTTTTAACTTTATCAGGAAACAATCCATAATCCTTTCGAAATAACTTAAGTTATGGCCATAGAAATATTTTTCTCTTGTTTAGAAGAAGGCTTAATACCATGGACGTTTATGGAGAGATGGGTTGCACGCTTACTGTATAACATCACCGACATTATACTTTATATCTTTCAGTTAACAGACATCAAGTTAATAGGAGTATTCATAAACTTGTTACGCAGGCCATCGTGTCAATCAACCGAACTTAAGGGTGTACTTCTTGTTGCCAATGTTCACAAATTTAAAGCTCTCGTTCAAACCCATACAGAAACTTGCATGACAACTTTACTTGGAAAAAAATAAAACTGAGCTTGTCGCCTTTCCACAACTTACATTTAGATGATCTGTTGCCTTTGCAGTACGCCTCCATATGTCCTCTTCTTGATGTATTTCTTGATCCCAAACGTTAATCCACTTTATCTGCTGATGTTGCCAGGGTCCTGATTTATTGCATTCTCGACTTATTTTAACCACCTGTGTGTAGCAATAAAAGACTTTACTTTACCCCGAAATAGACCGTGCTGTTGAAGTTGGTCCGGTGTCGCTGGAAAAAACAAGGAATCCTGTTAGCTTTGTAAAAGAAAATCAACAGCGTCTTAATGACATACTAGCTGCTATCTATCTGCTAGCTGCCATCTGCTATGGGTATCTACTGACTCTAACGAAAAAAAAAGACGCGCTTTAATGTCGAAGATGCAGGTTGAAGACGTTTAGCGAACGGAAGATTCGGTTTTGCAGCGCAGATAGTTAAGGCTTAGAAAAAAAATTTAGCTTTAAGGTCTTAAAAGTTTTCCTCCTGCCTTAACGATACATACTGCAAAAATCACATTTTGTCTAATAAATAATTTTAAGCAGTGAAGACTTACGTTTCCTCTACTCGTGCAAGTTGTAATGATTTCCCCTGTAATCTACTGTCAAGGAGTTTGCAATATGGAACTGCTTTTTCGTAGAAAGGTTTTTTCACCAAAAGTATTTAATCTTAGAATTGATGCTGGTGGGTGTAGGGTAAGAGTGGAAAACGGGTAGCGATAAAACAGAGAGTGGAAGAGCATGAGTTGATTTTTTTCGGCGATTCGTAAACTTTTTTGAAATTGTAAAGGAATTAAAGGCTCTGAAATAACATTTAACTTTCCATTTTGTGCATTCGCAAATCCATATGTATATGTATCAGTAATTGTGAAATCTACCCGTAGTAAACAATACAATTGAATTCCTTTGAGCTTACTTAAATATAAATCCAAACACTAGAGCTCTATAAGTGGATTCACTTGGAACTTAGAGGCTAGATGATGAAAGATATTTCAAGAAAAAATAAGAGGATGACATCGCTGTCGACGAAAAAATGGCTTAAGAAAAGTCTCTGGCGTTTAACGTTTTGTTGCCTGAGCATTGTTTCAACTCAACCTGGCTATTGTTCAGCAATCGAAAGCGTTGGTTGTGAAACTCCTGAGACTAACTGTGCTTCTACCGCATTTTCTCAAGAAAAAAATTCACAGAAAATTGGCTTAAGTTCTTGCAACAGCACAAGACGTCTACACAGTGGTAAAGTGGAACGGAGTTTAGGCCCAAGAAGGGGGAAACGAGCCGGAAGCTATGTCGCTACAAGAAATCCAGACTCACTTAAGATAAAAACAGTTTGCAAACTATTGGAAAAGGCTTTGGGCAGTCTGAAGAGTTTAAGTCAAAACACATCGAAAGATGGACGAGGAACGAAAGTAAAGGATAAGTCTTCCAAACCGAAGCCATCTTTCCCTTACTTTCCTCTTTGTGGTTGCGCTGGATGTTGCTTAATGCGTCCGATGATAATGTACAAGGTTAAATACACTCCACCGAAATTTAAAATGAAACCTTTAAAGGCAAAAGCAAAATGTGGCCATCCACATTGTGGAGTTTACTTAGGTCGGAAAAGGAGATAGGTCCGAGAGTTTGATGATCACTTTATAACATTTAGCAAATAATTTGTTAATTAAAAGCGTTTCATTTAACTAGGCGAAGGTTTATTAAATAAGTGACCTTTTTGAGAGCATGTTACTCGAAGCAAATAATTCATTCATTTAAAAATGTACAGCTAATCTCGACCAATCCATTCATCACAGATTTGACAATCTTGGTTCTCTTATTAATAATTATCAGCAGCTCAGTGGTCAAGACCGAGCGCCGCAAACTTTACAATCTTTCTCAATCTTTCTTAATCTTATACATTGTTCAAACGCCTTCTAGATCTGGGCATGAATGATTGATAACCCAAAGTCTTTGACAATAGAGAGACCTGTTAACTTACATACTCGATAACACTAGGAGTCAAGGTGGTAAAAAGTCATGACATTTTTTTCTCTTTCATCGTTTCACTAAGTGAAGAAGAAAACTTTGAAAACATGCTTTGTATAAGAAAGTACCTATGGCATCATAGCAAGGAATTCCCTACTGTTAGCTGAACAATGCAGTCGAAATTTCACACAAAGGGGAAGAGGAACTGGGAGAAATATGGACTGAAATGTATGAAGTTCTCAAGTTTGCTATTGTATTGACTCAGTTTCAGTGTTTCACCGTTGGAATATACAATAACAAATCAAGTGAATATAATTACGTTGCGTTCTTTAAACGTCTACAACATATCAAAAATTTCAATGGTTTAGTTATTAAGGCAATCGAGGACTCACGACCTTTTTCGAAAAAAGTACTGTTAATTCAAAGATACGGTCATGGTTTTTCTGTTACGAAGAGAACGGAAGAAGAAAAACCTGAAGGTCCTCTTCATTCTATTTCAAGAGAAAATTTTAAGAAACTATACGAGATTTTAGAAAACGCATTGAAAAGGCTTAATGATTATGAAAACGATGGTGGGACTGACGATAGCGCAGAGCCTGACATGGGAAGCGACAATGAGGATCATCACTTTAAAGGCACGCAGGACAACAAGAGTAAGCCTAAAGGTAATGGAAAAGAGAAAGAGAAATTAAATGAGGATCAGTCAGGCGATTCTCCATCGCAAGACGGATCCGTATGTTTTATGCCCTGTGGAGGCGGAGGTGGTGCGTGTTTTAATCCATCAGCATGTGGTTGTTCCTGCTCGGATTGCTTACCATGTCAACCACAGTCATGTATGATGCCACCATGCTGTCCTTGTTGTTGTAATCCTGGAGGAAAAAAACTGGAAGACATCTGGATGATGCCAACTTTGATCGTATCTAAGCCTATTCCAGCTCCTCTACCACCTGGTGAAGGACCAAAACTCTGGCTACCATCCTGGCTAACAGATAGGCTAGGACTTCCTCCCTCAGCTGGTGTGGGAGAAGGAAGTGGAAAGACAGCTGGTGGTAAATCTGGTGAAGGAGCAGCTGGTGGTGAAGCTGGTGGGGGTGCAGCTGGTGGAGGAGCTGGTGGTGAAGCTGGCAGAGGAGCAGCTGGTGGGGGGGCAGCTGGTGGTAAAACAGGTGGGGGTGGAACTGGTGGAGGAGGACCTGGTGGGGGAGCAGCTGGCGGGGAAGCAGCTGGTGGTGGAGCAGCTGGTAAAGGAGGAGGTGGTGGAGTAGGAACTGGTGGGGGAGAAGCTGGTGGAGGAGGGGCTGGTGGA